AAATCCTCCACCAGCACCGCTTACCATGGCCTCCTCCACCTCCTGCACCTCCGCCAAATCCTCCACCAGCACCGTACCATGGCCTCCTCCACCTCCTGCACCACCGCCAAATCCTCCACCAGCACCACTACCATGGCCTCCTCCACCTCCTGCACCACCGCCAAATCCTCCACCAGCACCGCCGCCGTGACCTCCTCCAGCACCACCGCCAAATCCTCCTCCATCACCGCCACCATGGTCTCCTCCAGCACCTCCCCCAAATCCTCCTCCCGCACCACCACCATGACCACTACCAGCTCCGCCGCCTAATCCTCCTCCAGCACCACCACCAAATCCTCCACCTTGACCTCCACCACCACCTAAACCACCACCTTTGCCTCCACCAGCACCCCCACCAAATCCTCCACCAGCACCGCCACCGGCTCCTCCTCCAACACCCCCACCACCGCCTTTGCCACCACCAAATCCTCCTCCAGCACCACCCCCTCCTCCAAGACCACCACCTCCCAAAGTATCCTTCTCAAGTCTCCTACATTCCGCAACTCCAATAATGAGAACCACAAGCATCAAACCCAAAAACCCTAATCGCTTAGAAACTTTCCCCATTTTTTTCTTTCTACTCTTATTTTTCAAAGTGTTGTTCTTTGTTCAGTGCAATATGTTACTCACCTTACTACTTACTAAATCTATTTATAAGTGCGAAAAAGAGCATTAATGAGAATTAGTTGAGGGCCTAATTTGAATTTCTCATACAGTTCCTCATTTCGCAATCTAGGATGCTACAGTTTTCTTCAAGGTAATTAATGAGTGCTGAGCAAGTGTTCCTTTTTCAAATTGTATTTCGATCCTATCATATTTGTCAACCCTATCGTTTTCTTTAATCATAACAAAACATTTTTAGTGTGCCTAGCTAGAGGATTTTTTATCACCGACTAATAAGTCAATAGCCAAAAGAAAGAGTTATAACATGTAATGTCTTTCGAACTTTTATTACAATTTTTTTTTTGCAATATATAGATAGAGAGACCATGTTAACCTTGATTAATGTCGTTTTGACGTTTTCCTATGCAGGAATTTAAATATGTTGAATGTTTTCCAAACTGTTTTTCAAGATCTAAGCTTATAAAACTCAAATTTATTTCATCCATCTACATATAGAATTGGAGAGTTCTCTCTATCTAGAGTATCTACACCAACATCCATATCATCATATTTTTATTTTTTTTGTGGACTTCATATATCTTATTTATTACAATAAAAAATATTAAACTAAAATTAGTTCACACATTTCATATTATTATCTTTCAGTAAAGATAATCAATAATTTACAAAAAATAAATTAAATATGAAAACGAAAAAGTATATATATAAATTTTGAATAGATATTGGATAAATATAAAATTAGATAATTATATCTTAACATATAATAAGTAAATATTTTTAGATGGTTAGAGATAAGAAAAAAAAACACTTCTCATATATTTTAATGGTACAACAATCATTTAGTAGAATAAAGAAAATAAAATTTACAAATACCAATTTAAAGGTTTTTACTTAAAATAATAAAAAAGTAATTCATTTCTGAAAAATACACAATTAAAATTTGAGAATATATTGCTAATGTTAAAGTATCACCAATTCATGATACCAACTCAAAATAAGAAGGAATGATTACATATTATTATTTATAATTATAATATAATATAAAATGTTAAGTTAAGAAATTTGTCTATATTACTAATATTTTCTGAATTATAAGTGGTGGGTTTTCTTAAAACAAATGAATACCTAAAAAAAGAAAAATTAAATACTAATCAGTGCAAGGAAATTAACATACATTGAAGAAAATAAGGTGATTTGAAAAACAAAAAGAATATCCTAAACATCAAAAATAAAAATAAAAATAATATAATCGAATAATAAAACTGTGTATAATAATATTTGAGAATGCAATTTGGAAATTGGAATAGTAATGGTAGATGGAAGATTTTTCTTAGAAATAAGAAGGATTTTTTTTTTTTAAAAAAACAAACATATTTTAAAATTAGAATTAGGAGTTCGTAAGTTACACATTTTAAGAATAGAAACATTAAGAATGCTATCCAGAATCATAAGTTAAATTATATATGTGAAAAGAGAATTTTGTAGTTTTTAAATGGTCAAGATAAAATCTAATATTTGAGTTGAAATCTGATATTTGTGAATATGAATGAGTCCATATATGAGATTTGTTATTTATAAAGCAATTTTACACGCACCAAAAGATGATCAAAAAACATTATGACAAACATCTTTCTAGATTTTCAGATGTTCACGTTAATAAAAAGATCATGCAACTTATAAAAAAAATTGAATAATATATGAAAAACAGGAAGGAGAAAGTAGATCCAATTTATCTTGATAACTAATTTATAGTCGAGTATATTATATGTGATTGTGAGCCAATATAAGGTGAAAAGAGAGTACACGTCAGAAGACGATGAGTGAATAATAGAAGATAACGAGAGAAATTATAGTGAAAAGTGAGAAATTTTTGTACTACTTAGAAAAGATAATGCACATGAGTAAAATAATTTAAAAAATAGTTCATAATTTAGGGGGTGTTATTGGTTCCTAATTTACAAAGAATTTTGATGACTTTAATAAAATCATAGAAAGTAAACAAATGAAAGATTCTAAATTATTGTTAGAAAATTTTCGAGAGTTTTCTATAATCTTGTTGATTAATACTTTATAATCTTGTAAAATTTCCCAAACAATCTCTTTATTTTGAAGATACTTTTCATGACTTTATTTTGTAAAGAAAAGTGTAGAAAGTCATAAACCAATAACATAATAATTTAATTCATTAACAATCATAGATTCTTTTGTTTTAATTGAATAACACAAAACTTTTAATGACTTTGTAAAAGTATGAATCCAATAACTCCAGATTTGTGAAGATTTTAGATTACTTTCTCCAAATCTTAAATTAATAACACCAAACTTTAACAAACTTTTAAAAAATCTTGATTGAATAACAATAGATTCTAAATAACATGTAAAGTCACTAAAACTCTATTTAAATCACAAACCAATAACACCCCCTAAGGCTAATCTTATTAATTACACAGGGAGTTTAAAGACTCATGTACACACGAATATGAACACAATGATTCACAATTAATGTTTTACTCGTATTAAGATAAATAATTATATTAAGTACCATCAAATCTCACAAATTATTATTTATAAACCAGAACAAAGTTATTTGATGAAAAGCACGAAAACTGTGAAGGTATTTAGACTATGAGACATGCAGTGCCAAATAATAGTTAAAAGCTAAGATTTATAGAACAATAAAGGTGATAAAGTATTTAATGAAAGACAGTATTCATCAAGTTTTGTAATTAAGTTTTATTTTTCTGCTATTATCGAATTTTTATCTTCAATTTTTCTACAATGTATGAGTTGTAAAAAAAAAAATCTACGAGAAATTCAACATGGTTTGAAAGTAGTACGTAGGGTAAGGCAGGTGGTAAAATTAATTAAGATTCCTCTTTCTTTTTTCCCAGCGTCTCAACCACTTCACCATTGAGTTTATTATACATACATTTGATCTTTTATACTAATCATGCAGTTTATATTCATCCACAAATCGTTATCACTATGATATGCCGACAAATTTAATATTTAGTTTGACTATTGAGTCACTGACTAAAAAGGTTTGTTACCGATTGGGCGTAACGAATTTGTTGTTTTTATTTTTATTTTTTAATATTGAAATAAAAGATTTTACTTTTCATTCGTGTTGGTTCCAAATGTTGAGTAAATATGTTTGAGAAAAATAAAATTACATTTTTTCCTCATATACTGATGACACTTAATTGTTGAATTCCTTAACATTTAGAAAAGAAAAGCAATGCTCTTGAGTTTGGGGACATAAAGGTAGCTAGCACCTCCTTTAACACACAAATGCAGTAAGTGTTTGAAGTGTTATGCGGATGTGAATATGTTAATTTCTCTAGAATACGATTGTGTGAGAGAGAGAATGGGGATCCTGATGAATGGTCTTTAATATATGGGTTGTCTCTAGGTTAAATAGGAGACCGAGTTAGGACCTTCGGGCTTGAACTTTCAGATATTCAAAAAATAATAATAAAAAAAAAAAGATTAGGAGACCGAATACTTGCGGGGGTATATTGAAATAAGGATTTTAGAAGACTTTAGTTTTTTTTTTATTAAAATCACCTGTTATTCAAGTTATGATTTTTAAATAGATTTCCAAATCCCTTGTTATTGAACTTGAAATTTATACAAAATCACCCAAAATCATTCGCAATCTCTTGTTATTCAATCAATGATTTATTAAACTTATATCAAATCCATTGTTATTCAAACTTAACAAATTTTTTTAATAAAAACAGTGAACATTGATTTTGAGGGACTTTGATGCGGACATCACATTTGCTGATGTACTTCCTGATGGACTTGCTGAACGACTTTCTGAACGACTTGCTGAAGGACATTCTGAACTACTTCCTGACGAGGTAAACAAAGAAAGCGAATCATTCATCCAACTTGGATCATTCAAATTAGGTATTTCAAATCCTCCAAATGAAGAAGAAGCTTACAAAACATCTTTGGTCGAAATATCAAAAGGAAGCAAAGAGAAATCCAATAGAAAGAAACTTTCCTTATTCGGCTTAATCAAATTAGCATTGATTGCCAAGGAGGATTGCTTGCTAGAAATCCTCGATCCACTATTTAATCCTGAGAATGCACCTAGACGTCCTCAAGTCTCCCAAGACGTAAAGCTCAATCAATGCCGACGATTTGTCCCTCATCATCACCACCAATCAAGCATTCTCCATTATGTTGATTGATTTGTATTTAATTTTGAATATTTTATTTTAATGTAGATTAGACCATGTAAGAGCTATAAAAAGGCTCATTTGTTTCATTGTAAAGACACCACGAAATTTGAAAGTAATATAAAGAGTTTTCTCTAAAGCTTAGGCTTTGTTTGTTTATCTAAGTTAGGTGGATTCCTTTACTTAGTAAACTTTTGTTCTTATGTCTTGTTGAGCGAGTCATCAAGGCTTAGAGCTTGTGCTGTATCAGAGTCTTATCACAACTCTGTGGTGCACTTCGCCCCGCCATCATTTTCCCTCATTTGATCCCACACGAGAGAAGCGACCGCCATCGTGTCAGATTTCCACCTTCGACCATCTTTTCTTCACAAGAGAGAAGCGATCGCCAGCTTGTGAAGCCGCCATATCTATTCGCATACGAGTCTCACCACCGATTCTTGTATCAGACTTTTGATACTTTTTTAGTTGAAAAATAGGAATGAAACAATCCCACCTCTATAGGTGTAATTTGAGGGAATTTCAATTTTAAAAAAAAATGTTCACAGCAAAAAATTGCAGAAATTTTCTTACCGTCCCTCTTATCATCATCTGTTCTTCATTCTTAGAGAAAGGGGTTTCATGCTCTGATTTACTCTGGAAAACTTTCTCGTTGCTTTACGTGTGATTCAGTGAGTCCCATTGGAATATCAATGTTGACTTTCTCTTAATCCGGCGTCACCATCCTTCAACTCTTGGAAACGATTGCTGGGTTTCTCGTGCCGAGACGTCTGAATTTTTATTGTTAGGATTTGGAGAGATCTTTGAGAGCTAGACTCATGTTGGTGTTTGATACAGAGTTTGAGGAGGCTGTGAGAAAGCTTCTTGACGGCCACATTCTTATATTGATGAGATTTTTTCTATTCTCGACGTGAGCTTAGTGTTCTTCTTCGCGTATAAATCATTTTTTCCAAACGTTTGTGATTCTCTTCTTTTTGTTATCTTCTACTGCATATATGTACAATGATTTCTTGCTGCAATTCCAAATATAGATGAAGAAGCCATCCTTGAAATTCCGGTTTCAGAGAGTCGCATGAACTAATTAGTGTGTGATCTTTTGATGGTCGACATTGATGTAGACATATGCCAAGCATTCTGTTTTGTGCTTAACTTACCCTTTTATCCCTCTTTAGAAATGTCATGAGAATGAGACTATCTCATATTCCCTCATAACTGATGAAAATATGTTTTTTTTTACATGTTCTATTGTTCTCTGAACTGGATTTGTTTGTATGGGGACGCGTATCTCTTGAATTCATTTTCATGTGTGTGGTGAAGATGCTGAGATTTTTGAGTTGGTAGAAAATGTAAAAGATTATAAAAATCTTCTTCTTCCTCAAGAAAACATGTTTGTTTCCAATAACAATCCTTTCACGGGACATATCCCAAATCCCAAATTAAAAATAAACCCTCTTAAACCACCCCTTAATTCTTACCAAATCACCAATCATTTTTTTTTCTTTTAAAAATAAAAAAATATAACAATTCCACCAAATATCCTGAAAACTTACTCAAATCTCTAAAAAAACTGAAATATGAAAATTCTACCAAATCTTCTAAAATATTGGTTCCAATACACCCCCCTTGATGTAATGTATGGGTTGTCCAATAGTCGGTTTTTTTAATTAGTCACGTCCTTAGTAAATTTGGCGCATTAACCTGCTATAACATATATATCACCAAAAAATGTACGTTGATATTAGGTAGGAGCAATGATGCCTTGTTCTTGATTCGGCATGTGCTCTATTTTTTTTTTTGATAAATCTTATCGGCTATCCGGTCGGCCCCGGTAGAAACGCATCGAAGTACTACATAGTAGACTGGTCCACCGTATTAACGGTTAGGCCCTTCGGGCTACCACTTTGTCTATCACGAGTTTAGAATGCCTTCCGACTAAGTGTCAGGGGGTAGTCAGACTGCCTGCATTTTTGACTACCAGATAAACCAATTGGACTAAAGCTCAACTGACAGACTTCCCACAATAATGTTGATAACAGCAGGAGGAGTCGAACCATGGAAAGGAAGGAGTTGCAGCCAATCACCCTAGACCTGCCAAGCCACCAGCCCACCATCATGTGGGCTCGGCATGTGCTCTATTGATGGACTACCTCGTAACGATGATGCGGGAAACTACTTTAAATGTTTTCTTGAGAAACATGAATGGCGCATTAAAAAAAAAAAAAAAAAAAAAACATGAATGTCGCATTGCCGACAAGAATAAAAGTTTATTACAACTAGAAAAATAATTAGTTTTCACCACAAAGAAAGGAACATGAGTTATTTTCTAAAACTCAACTAAAACCTTATATTATTTTAAAAACGGTCTCTATAATGAATGCCCATTACCAAGAACTTAATACAGCTATATATATATATACTATATAGAATGAGAAATGCTTTAACAATTTGACATTTTCTAAAGAAGACACCCAAAATATTGGAGAATAAGATCTGAAAGTTAGGCCAGTTAAACAAAAAATATTACGGTAGTTTCTATTTTTAGTAACTTGTAGACCATGCAAAACAATGAATCCTTGCTTTGTTGGAACGACACATCTGACAAAATGGCTCAAACGCAACCAAAACCGTAAGCTTGAAATTTGAGAAACCATAGCTTCAAAATAAAAGAAATATCCCAGAGAACCCTAAGGTTAATAAGTTTCCTCAACTTGAACATTGAAAGATATTGGAAAATTAAGGAGAGCTCTTAAAGATGACAATTCTGAAACTATGACTGATGACCACTCTGAAACTTTGGTTTTAACATTTGCTCTGATCATTAACTAACTTGAACTCTGGATATTCTATTCGACAATCTGGACATACACTGCTAACTAACAGATCTGCATAACTTTGATTCCCCAATATCAGATCTATTTACATCTCTAACGCTCCAATCGAGATATTACACATTATGATCCAAGAACTCCTCTTACATTCTATGAGTGAGAGACTATAACAATATACACAGTACAGTGTAGGGAATCAACCAAAATAGTTCCCAACTATATAACTATTCGTACATGTTCCCCGCAGCAAAAGTTCCTATTAAACCTACCCGGCCCAAAACCAAAACATTTTCTGCCACTCACTATGATGGCATCATCATCATCAGAGGAACCGGGAGTTCAATAACGATTAGGAAATAAGAGCGTTCGAATTCCCTTATGTACTGAACCCTTCCGTTCATCAGTTTCAGAATCTTTCTGCAAACGCTTAGCCCTAATCCTTCTGGACTTGTCCATCGGCTACTATGGAACATGTCCTGCACTTTCTCTGGCGGCACACCTTCCCCTGCACACGCCATTCTAACAAAACATTGACAAAATGAGTCAGCGAGTTTGCTGTCCTTAAGGCTTTGAAATTTGAACGGTGACAACGCTCCCAGTCAAGACTGTGTTTATTTTATCATTCACAAGTTTTTCTCAATGCAGATAGCAAACAAAAAAATGAAACTTATCTGCAGCAGTAGTCACATTTACAAAAAAGAAATATCATAAAGCAGATGATTGAAGCGATAGCGATATATTCGCTGCTTAAGTCTATGGTTCTTCTCTTTGATCTCAGACCTAAGTCAACTAGCTAAATAGAGAATTGGAGAGACAGAGACAAAACCAGAACGATGGAAGGTACCTGAACTCCAAGCGTATAGCGGAGAACCCGTCAGCCATTTGTTTCAGAACCGGGCATAGATGGAGCTCTACCGAGCCTTCCAAGGGCGCATAACGGACAATACTTAGCAGAAACTCTGCCAGAACCTGTTGGAGCCTTATCTGGTCACCATAGACAGCCATGGATTTGATCTCCGCGGGAATGTTACGGATCAGCTGAATATTTCTCTCTCTCACCACAAACATGACTTGGCTTACCACTGCATTTATGACACTGCCAATGAAGAACTCTGTCCTCTCTAGCAGAAATGAACTGATGAGCAAAAAAAAACAGAGATTGTTTGTTTAGAAGTGCTAATGAGGCTTTATAGAACAATTTAAGTGTGTATAAAAACAAATCAAAACTCTCACCCGTCTTCAATGCTTTTGACGTCCATTTCTCCTACAATCTTCGAGATCTGCTTCTCGCATGAAACACTAGTTTCAAGAAGCTGCTTCTGATCCTCGTTTAAATTCGTAGCTTCCAACAATGAATTTGTGAAACGCAATCCGCTCAATGGATTCTTTATAAATTGGAAAATGTAAGCCAACTCTTTCCTCCTTGAGAAGTATTCACTCTCCTGCCTCCTCTGGACTTCTAGAGCTTGCTGCAGCTCGGGACTCGGTATCTGCAAAAAACAGAAAGCCCCAATGATTTTACCGTCGACGCTGACCCGTTTGTTCAAAGTCAGGAGAGCCTGAATGAATTTCCCTTCACGGTCAAAGAACGGGAATGGGAATTTATCCGTTTCTTGGCCACCAATCGCGTTATGTAAAACGATCATGAACTTCGTTAACGCATCAGGACCCTTTAGTCTGCAACAGCTCCCAAATACTTCCCTAACAAGCAATTTTCCAATCACTTCGCTGCGAGGCCACCCTGTGAGCTTTTCCATTGCGGTGTTCCACTCAATGCAGCACGTATTCTCATCCGCTGCAAAGATTGGAGGGATCAGAGGGTTCGGGCTATGGATGATGGCCTTGTAATCGCCTTGTATGTTGATGAACTTGTCCATAACAAATTTATGACCGGTTACATCTTGTCCAACAAAGCAGACTCCAACGATGTTGTTTAAGTAGTCCTTGCTTGAGCATGCGTTGACAACCACAAACACTGCTTTCCCTTGTAGCTCGGGACCAAAAGTTTTCAGCTTGACCTCCACATTCTTGCCTTCATCCCCTGCATAATTGAAAATGAAACACATTATCAGAATTTGCATGTTAGAGTGTGTCACAGATTGAAAATTTAAAGAATTGCATAAACCTTTGAGAGCACAAGAAAGAAGCCTATCAGCTGTTTCTTTGTACTCTTTGTAAATCAAATCGCGAACCAGAGACTTTCCCATAGCTTCTTCAACAGAAAGACCGGTCAGCTCTGCAATCTTGGCGTTCCACCCATTGATGCAGCCATCAATGTCCACAGCAAATATAGGAACCGTCGCAGTCTCAATAA